CAGCTTATTAAATGCATCTTAGAAGGCTGCAAAATTTGCCCGAAACGCCTAAAAAAGACCTATCCAAATTAAATTGCATGCTGTTCTTGAACCATTTGGAGTATATGCATGCTTTTGCTCTCTTTGAAAGGTGACACTCAGAGGTTTGTTCCTAAACAGTCAAAATCACTGTAAGTCTTACTGGTCTTGAGTAATATAACTTTGAACACAATGAAAAATGACAAAAAAATTCCGCCTACATTTTTTTTGTGTAAACAGATGCCTGCAGATAACTACAGCTGGGAGCTATGAGCTAGAAAACACAACTGGATCACAGCATGAAGCCTTACCAAACAGAGTTTAAAATTTGATGATGATATCTAAGAAAATGAGTGTTTTACACATGTTTATCTAAGTGTATATCTAGGCGCTTCCCAAAAAAAGCCACTTGAGACTCCAAATGACCCTTTGTGATCATAGACACATAAAATGCTGCTATTCTTGAATACTTTACTCTACAGTCATAATTTTGGGCTCTAATGAAAGGTTACATTTAGGGCTATCATATTCCTTAGCCAGATTCACTGTAAATATTGATGACACATAGTAACTGAAGCATAAACACATTATAGTGTTTTTTTTTCAATTCTTGAAACCAAACTTTCTACAAATAAAGAGACAAAACAAGTGCTATGGTACTAAAACACTTTAATATTAGAACTGAAACTACATATACATATATATATATATATATATATATATATATATATTATATATATATATATATATATATATATAAATACATATATACACACACACACACAAAAAAGTGTGACGACCTGCAGTGCTGTGTCAGTGATATGCACAGACTTGAAAAAAGAAAAAGCCAGTTCTCCTCTGCATCTCACCCTCCCCGTCCACTTGTTGTTTAGCTGGCAGAACCTCTCTGGAAAGATAAATGATGGGGCTCCTCTCCTGATAAGGTGCTGTCATTCTGTTCCAGTATGTTGTTTTTTTCTGACTGGCTCCCAGAATTCACTCACTAATTTTCAGATGATGGTCTGTGATATATAAAAAAGGGAAATAATTTACAAAACATTTACATTATATGCGTGTGAATACAAAAATAAACAGAAACACATGCACACAAAGAACCAGGATTATGCAGTTCATGAGCGCACACGCACATCATGAGCTATGACATAAACAAACACGACATAAGTTAGCACATGTAAACACACACACACAAGACATGTATGTTTTGCGTGTTTAGCAATTTCAACTCACAAAAAGGCCACATATTAAATAGTGCTGTAACGTTACGAGCGCACACCAGAGAACCTAGCTAGCAGGTAATGCTATGTTGAACACACTCACACAAACACACACGGCAAAAGCTGACACACCTCAACTGAGGCATGTGTTTGTTTTAGTACACCTAAAACAAACACATGTCTCAGTATATACAGTCAAATATGTTGGGCAATATAATAAAACTTACTTTTCGTGACGTGAGTGCCGTGGCCACCATCCAAAAGGGTCCTCTGCTAGTCGTGCTAACCAGACAACAACATCGATTGCTCTCTTGCTCACAAATGTCCTCCCACACTCACCACGGTCACGGAGAATACACTGTTCAATCACTTCTTCGAGTAATAAGTGCGTCTTTCTAATTATCTTTGCCATTTCACATCTGTTACCTCCTTTCACTCACCAACGCGTTCAATGTTGTGTTTACGCACAAACGCGCAGAGGATCACTTTCGCTTTACGCATGAAATATAACGTAATCGGATGATTCCAGCCACTAAAGCTGCATTTCAGTCTTTTCAGAAATTCATTGGCTATCAGAAAATAGCGTCATTTCATTCTCTATTGCAACTGGATAGATAAACTGTCACTCAAAGAGAGGTAGGTACAGATTTCACCAGGCGAGCTCGTTGGTTGTTGGAACATCAGAAGACACCCCTAACACTCGCCGATTGGCTAAAATGACCTGTCAATCAATAGTTCGGGGGTCAGCGGCCATTTTGACATACTTTTTTCTCCAATGTTTACGTTTCAACTGAAGTTAGACAGATCAAATAGTGTTAGTGCGTCGAAGTTGTGATAGCGCTGTCGGCTAACGCGAAATGCTACTATTGCATTCCATGGATGTTTATTCATATATACAATTGTTTTGGACTAAAAACTTCTTCAAATTGGATTGTATGGACGCTTTACAGTGAAACCAAACCATTTTTGTTGGAATGTGGACTAACAGATGGCTAATTGGTGAGTTTCTTCCAGTTTGTGTTGGTTTGTTTTGGCTGTTGGTGGTCTGACAAAGAGACAGATTGTGCCCGCTGTGTTGATTGTATCTTAAAATGGTTTACGTCGTTCGAATCACGAGTTTCTCTCAGCTTTCCAAAGATATGTATTATGTTTACTTTTGTGTTTGTTTTGTTTTTCTTTCACAAAGTTAAACCTATAAACCACCCTGTTGGCCGTATACGGCACGTCGGACCACAAACAGGTTAAGCTTTTTTTCTTTTTTGCTCTGTTTTGCTGTTGTTTGAACTGCAATATTTTTTTTTTTAAGCATTTCAGTTCAGCTTTTGAAGCATTCACACGCATATTCCGCAGGAAATGCAATTTTTCTAGTTTTAACTGTTAATGGGAAATAGAAAAAAGAACAATTAAAGCTTTAACTGCACAAGGTTTATTGTGTATTTTCAAACACATTAGTACATTTACATATATATACATTTAAATACATTAATACAATTAAATACATTAATAATAAAATGTAATATAATACAATAAAAATCATGCATGACAATCATGAACAATTATGCATAAATACATGCAAAAATTATCATGAACAGGTAAAATAGAAAGATTAAAGGGGTGCTATCTGATCAATCTATTAGAAAGATAGTTCATAACAACTCATCCACCCACTCCCTGCTGGGGTAAAACAGCTTAAACTAGTCTAAGATTGTCTATTGGTTTGAGATAGACTGTCTAACTGGTCAGTTGCTGATTTTAAAGGGTTTTTGGCTGCTTTCGATCTAAGGGACCAGATTTGCAGGGCTGGGAGACACATATAAACTTATAAACTATAAAAGCGTTGACGAGTAAACCACCAATGCAGATGAGTATAACAAAATGACAAGTTATCCAGTGTCCTTTAAAAAAATAAAAAAAATAAACACAAAACAACCTCATCATGCACATGTGCCATGAAAAACTTGCATTACGGTATCAATAATTATTTATATGCAGACTTATGTTCTAACTTTTGCAATAGGAAGTTTTCTATCCAAGCTTTTATGCAATTAAACCTTAAACTGTACTGTAACGTTTATTTTCACACAACAATTCTAAACAACTTGCAGATAAACAAAATTCACAGATGGATAAAAATCCGTTTAAAATGTTCTCAGTGGGTCAGTACTGGACCAAGGTATAGTAGTAGTAGTTAGATGAATAGAATAATTAAATTAGATTAGATTTACAATTCATCGGTCGTCAAGATGGATAGGGTCTTCTTAACATGCACAGCTCACACCTGTGGAAAAGGAGAACAGACAAGACAGTTAAAATATAGTACGTTTTTGTTGTTGTTTTGGCTAAACAGCAAAAACAGACAAAATGATGTCTAGAGTGTAATTCACTTAATACTAAAATCTTGTTTGTTGGACTGTTGTTTAAAATCAATTCATTTACGATCACGTGAAAACGTAGGCTAAATCTTGCTTGTGTGATACTAAGTTACATGACTTAAAAAAAAGATTGACAAGGCATCGTTCCCTTCAAATGAGTACATGTCAGTTTACACATAGTAAAAAAAAAAAAAAAAAAAAAAAAATGATATTATAGCCGACAATACTGTAGTATATAGTGAATGGTTCCTACCGGAACACCCCCAGGCAGTTTGTGTAGTTGGTATGACCCGGGTTTTTTTTGTTGTTGTTGATTCTAAGTTCGCTAGTAAAGTGTTCAACACCAGGCTAACTCCCTCGTGTATGTGTCGTTAATGATAACCAAAGATTAACAAGACCACAACAAATACTGTAAATGTCACACATAGCTTTGTATTTTGGACAAAAATACACCTTGGGCGCTTTCCGCGGTCCAACTTTATCACTGAGGTAACGTTATAATGGCAGAACGCCAGGTCAGGATTTACACGAAAATAAGCTTGAAAAAATCAATAAGAGGAATCGGCACTTTAATTTTATAACAATAAATCCGAATCCCAACCTTGGATGTCCGATTTCAGGATACATTTATCGATTATCAATTCCTAACCCCTGTAAGTCATAAAATAATGAACGTGCAGGCGCTTCCACCGACTTAACGTGGTAAATAACAAAATGATTAGACCATTTTGACCGTATAAGAGGTTACATATAAAATATATGTTAATAAAATCACATTTAATCAAGTAAGGCTATCAACATAAAAGAAATCCGCGTCTGACTTATACAGACGTTATCGAACATTCCGCGGCCACCTCTTTCTAACGGTAATCTGTTAACTCATATGGTTTGCATAAAAATATGAATTACTAACCAGATGTATGGCGAAAACGTTGCCGACCGACAGCGACGCGATGCACGGCCTGCGTGTTCTTACAGAGGGAAGGGAACTGAAGAGTTCTTCATAAAATGGCAGCTTGTTGTGGTTATTTTTCGCGGTCATTTCGTACTAATGTATTTGAATTTACAGTAACATCCCAAATGGCTACATTGAAGAGTAGCCTATCATATACATATTATATTAAAATGTCTAGAATATATTAAATTGAATATAGAAATCGTGGTCAGCTATTCTAAATAACTTTAAAGTTATTATTAGCTAGAATCCGTTTGCATACATTATAAGAATTATTACTTACCAGATGAAGAAGTTGCAGGTCGGCAGAAAAGACAGCAGCACCACTGACACGACAGAGAAACTCTTCCAAAGTCAAATATGCTCTCATGCACACCCCACTGACATAAATTATGTCATAAATTATGACTGTTAATGGTCAACCAGTGCTACATTTTTATTTTAAATGTAAGAATAACATTAGTAGGCTAGCAATTTTACCCGTGGAACTGTGTGTGGTGTTTTTCGCGGTCAATTGCACTGCTGTATTTAGATTAACAGTAACTGATAATTTCCCAGAATGCATTGCAATTCTACAGTAACATACTGTCAACTGTGTGCACAGTACATAACTGTTGAAAAAACAATTTAATACTGTGAAAACAACTAAATCTACTGTAACTTACTGTACATAGATTATACAGTAAGAAACTGTAGTAGTAGTATTGGAGCTGTTATTGTTTATAATTCATTGCACATTGTTTCGCCCCCAAAATAAGACCTTTTCTACATGATGCACAAGTACTGCGAAAACAAACACAAGAGAGGCACTGGAGAGAGAGCGAGAGAGACAGTTGAAAAAGTAAAGTAGGCATTAAAAATCTGTGCAGAGCTAAGGATGGGAGAGAGAAAAGAGAGACACTCTGAGGGGAAGATACAAATATTGTGCACAGAGAAGTGGAAGCAGAAGAACAGAGCGACATGTATTATAAAAACAGAAGCAGAGTCAGATGAGCATTGTTAGAAAGACAAAGAGGCATGGAGGGGTTATTTGTTTCTTTCTTTTGTTTACTCAAATGCTCTGAATAGGAATGGTCTTTACCATTCCTCCGAGAGGCAGGGACGTGCTGGCCAGCTCCGCTCCTTTTTTATCTTGTTCCCCAGAATGAAAGATGTGTGCTCTCACCTAAACGTGCCAGGCTGTCACACTGGGCTCAAAACCCATTAACAGAGACAGAACATGGGTCAACAGGCCAGCCACTGATAAGGATGACCAAACTCTATTGCTTTCACACTAACGCACACATGATCATACCAAAACAAATGCTTGACCAGACACACAGCTGCACACATACACAATAAAAATGAGGAAGGCTATTTCTTTCTACCATTTAATTCTTTATGCTTTTGGTCTGTATCACATACACATGAATACACAGAGGTGCTAGCTTTGTTTTCCTTGACGTTCACTTCAACACAAGAATTGTGATAAATGTTATTGTATCTAATTGTGTTCTAATTTCTATGACTTCAATTCAATTCAAATTTATTTGTATAGTGCTTTTCTCAATACATATTGTTTCAAAGCAGCTTCACAGAAAGTGCATTTCAGAAATGTACATGGAAAAACACATTTAGATAATCATGTAATAATTTAGGGCATAAGATAACATATTGGCAGCGTTGAGTCGTCTCTTCACAGGCGTTGAGTCTTCTATTTATAGGCGTTTACTCGTCTCATCGTAGGTGTTGAGGCATCTGAAGTCTCGGTGAGAGGCTGGATACAAACTAGAGCTGACGAACGCCATTTTGATTACAGCAGAAAAGCAAATGGGAAATAATTAGCACAGCTGCTGTTCATAATGATTTCCATTACACTAGAGTAGATGTTAAAAAACTTGAAGACAGTAGCCATGTTTCCATCCACTTGTCAATCGAATTATCTGAAATTCGGTTAAAAAACTCATGCGGATAAAGCTGGTGAAAGTGTGTTTCCATCCAACGGCTTTAAAGCGAATAAAA